CTGGCCAATGGCTGACAGCATGGAACACAGTTATGGAAGCCTCTACACCGGCTGCCCACAGGCTACCAGGCTTGGTTCAAAGCCTCTGTATTTCATCTTAACAACTCGGCTCCTGAATACCCTAAGCACTGACTGAGCCGTATATATCTCAGTATATATATATACTGAGATCTGCTGAAGCACTGGCCTGTCCCTTACAACATTTTCAGCTTACCAATTTTTCTCAATTTTTCTTAATTTCTGCACAACACTTAGATGTTTTCTATATGAGCTAGCAGTATATAAATATTATTTATGAACAAATAAATGGATAGTTGCTCTGATCCAGCGGTAGGGCTACTCTTGCATTTTTAGAGATGTCTCCTCCACATTGTTTTAATTGGTTTATTTTATATTTCAGTGATGGATGTTTTACTGTGGCTGTTTTACTGTGTACTTTAGTTGGTTACAGGTAGCTATTTATTTATCATTGGTCTTGTTATTTTTTTTATTTTTATTTTTGCTGTTGGCTTTTAATTGTTTGTGAACTACCTTCACATTTCTTGAAAGGCAGACTATTATTAATAATAACAAGAGTAACAACAATAATATTACTGATACACAAGTTCCAGGGCCTGCACTGTTATATTGAGCCCAGCATCATGATTTAAGCATTTGCACCCTGCTCTTCAGATGAAAAAGACTCCCAGAGTAGCTTCCTACAACTAGTAATAAGCCTCTGGCCTCAGGCATGCCATCTAAAACACATAGAATGGTAGTGTTGGAAGGGTCCACGAGGGACATCTAGTCCAACCCCCTGCAATTCATGATGCAAAAGGAAAACGTATTGGGAAGAAGGAAATAATAAGCAAAGCCAGGCCTAGTTCTTAGGTCATAAATTTTTCTGGTTGAGGGGAGTCACCCCTTGCTCTGATGCTCTTCTTGGGAGTCAGCAGCTGCAGTCACTCAGTATCATACCGCTTTAAGCAGTCAGGGCTACCTAAAATTAAAAAATTCCAGGAACTGTAATATGTTAAGACTGTTGTGGGTTGTTAAAGGTAAAAGGACCTCTGACCATTAGGTCCAGTCACAGATGACTCTGGGGTTGCAGCGCTCGCTTTACTGGCTGAGGGAGCTGGCATACAGCTTCCAGGTCAAGTGGCCAGCATGACTAAGCCACTTCTGGCGAACCAGAGCAGCACACGGAAATGCCACTTACCTTCCCGCCAGAGTGGTACCTATTTATCTACTTGCACTTTGATGTGCTTTCAAACTGCTAGGTTGGCAGGAGCAGGGACCGAGGAACGGGAGCTCACCCCGTTGCGGGGATTCGAACCACTGACCTTCTATCAGCAAGCCCTAGGCTCTGTGGTTTAACCCACAGCGCCACCTGCGTCGCTGTGGGTTGTTACGAGACCCTCATTCCCCTCACCGAGCTACAATTCCCAGAGTTCCCTGGGAAGAGGGAGTGACTGTTAAATCACTGTTGCTCTGTGTTGCTCCCCTAACCATTCCCAGCACCCTGAACAAATTATAGTTCCCAGGATTCAGGGTAGGGAGCCACGACTGATTAAAGTGGTGTGGTGGTTGTTGTTTTTAATGTATGGGATCTGAGAGGCTCATGTAAATGCTTGCCCTCTTTGCTCTGCAAGTATCTGTGAGCCTGTTCATACCTTGACTTAATTTGGATTATGAACTCCTTGTGCCTCCTTTAATTCCCCCTAAATTTGGAGACTCCCTATGCAGTTGATGTAGCTCTATGGGCAAGGGTGGATTAAATGGGGCACAAGGGGTTGACAATCCACATTAAGCTGAGGTAGGGACAGGCCCTGGGTAGGGCCTGTTCCCAGAAAGCATGTTTTCCCTGCCGGGTTGAGAGCCGGTCCTACCATTAGGCAGAGTGAGGCGACTGCCTCAGGCGGCGTTTGCTAAGAGGCGGTGGCCCCTCAGCAATTTCTCCTGATTCCCCTGTTGGAGAAGAGAGCTGCATGCCACCCCCACCTTTGTAACCACCCTGTTGACCTCCATCAGGAGCAAGGCAGTGCCTCATTGGTAGGGCTGAAGTGGGATTTGCCACTCTATGTGGAATAAGTGTGTGTGTGTGTGTGTGTGTGTGTGCACGCGTGCACGCCGTTTTGTCCTTTGCCTCGGGCGGCAAAATGTCTTGCCCGGCACCTCCTGTTTAAGAGAGGGAGTCCTTTCTACACCCCTCTAGCTGGGTGCCCCATGGCACTCGTGTCTCTGCGCTGTCAAAGAAAGGGCCCCCGCGCCTGGCGTTTCCACCCAAGCGCTGCCAATCCCTCGGAGAAGCAGAGATTGGATCCCTTCCCAGCCTCGTTTTGAAGCACGAGCCGGGCCCTGCCACTTCCCTCTCCTCCCCTGGGGCAAGCTGTTCATTTCCAACCCCATAAGACAATGCCCTCTTTGGGGAGAAGGAAAAAAACAACAAAGAAATTATAAAGCGCACAGGACCATATGGTAAAATATAGCCAGAGCCGCCGATGTGGCCAATTTTCTGTATGTTACCATATGGTGCTGCGTATTTAGCAAAAATATAACTTGACTGTTTCTCTTTCCATATGGGGATTCTTTTGCCTTAATTAATAACATTGAGGGAAAACGCTTTCAAAGGCTTCCAAGATTCCTGCAAATGGAAGATTTTATGACAGAAACATGCCCCGTTAAGGTCTTCCGAGTCAACGCAACAGGCCCTGCAACTCGGCCTCCGCCTCCTCTTTGGCCAAGAGCTTTTTCGAGCAGTTTCAAGGCTCAGGACACAGCAAAAGTTGGCCTCCAAGCCTTCTGAACTCCCTCCCCATGAGGTTCCTGGAAGGTGTTGCTTGAAACGCTGTCAAATCCATCCCCTCTGTCATTCAGTCAGGCCTGGAACTTGTGTGTGTGTGTGTGTGTGTGTTGGGGAGGGGAGAGAGAGAGAGAGAGAGAGAGAGAGAGAATTATATTTTTTTCTCCTGCCCTTCCTCCAATAAGCTCAAGGCAGGACCCATTGTCCTTCCCTCACCTACGTTGTAAACACTCTCACACAACTTAAACATTCATGGAGAATCCTCAGAACTGTGGTTGTTTAGGGATGCTGACCTCACATACCTACATTTCCCAGCACCCTTAACACACCACAGTTTCCAGGATTTTCCTTGGCTCTTAAAGTGGTACAAGAGTGCTTTAAATGTACGGTGTGGATGTGTCCTCTCTCATTCTCATGAACTGAGCTTCTTGACTCTGCCTTAGGAGCAAAAAAGACACGTCCACACAAACATGCCTCTTCTAGAGTAAGGGGCAGAGCCGAAGGGGTTTTCTCTTCTGGGCTAAGCTCTCTTCCCCACAGGGGACATCCCAAAAAAGAAGCAGTGTAAGAAGCATTTACATTATGCCCTCCTATCTTTAAAAAAACTGCCTAGGGGAAGCAGAGGGGGAAATGGAAACTTGAAAGAGGGTTCAGAGTAGAAAGAGCATCACCCCAGCTGCGCATGTGCGCACAGATGCACACTAACCCCTCAGCCTGTATCCCATCAATGGAAATGTCGAGGAGGATGTTCTCTATATATTTAGAGTTTATTTTCATGGTGTGTGTGTTTTCCCCTTTGTCTGTAATACCTTTGTTCCTTTTGCAACGTTTGTGTGGTTTTTTTTAAATAATAATAATAATCTTGCTGTGCTTTGCATATGCACTTTTGCCTGTTCTCCCTTTGCTTTCATTTTTCATTTCCCTTAATCTGTAAACTGATCACTGTTAGCTTTTGCCTTTGCTGCATTCATTTGCCTATATATAGAACTTTTTTGTCTATTTTTGTTTCCCTGTTTTCATTACTACTCTCCTACTGAATTTTCAGGTACAGACATCCAGATCTACAATGAGTCATTTGCTCTGGTTCTGTTTCTTACTTTTCCTCCTTCTTTTTAATTTAAATGCTCAAAATGAGCCGCAGCACTGTGGCTGGATAAGACTGTGTCGTGCCTATTCTGTACTCACACCTTGAAATTAGTTTTCTAGAGCATTTGCTTATTAGATAACGCCTGGGTTTTCTTCTACCAGAAGGCGAGGAGCTGAGGTTGGTAAAGTTGCCAACTGATCAGGGCAGTGGGCAGGAGGAGGGATCCCAGCTCACCATTCAGGAAGCCCCTGCAGGCCAGCTGCAAACATCTCCTGTGCAAAAATATATTGGGCTGAGAGAACATTGCAGTGAGAGAGCAGATGTACTTATTGGAGCAAAATGTAGTAACAGCAACTTAATTATGTGCAAGAGTGGGGGACTTTAGGCCTTAGATGGGTTGGTAGGGACCAGCCACCATTGCCCAGGGGCCAAATGCAGTTCTCCAAGCCCATACTGTCAAACATTTCTCTGATGAAAATAGGGACGACCCACTCCATAATCATAATTTTACTATTTATACCCCACACATCTTGCTGGGTTGCCCCAGACACTCTGGGCTGCTTCCAACATACAGTCATACCTCAGTTTTTGTACAGCTTAGTTCATGAACAACTTGGAACTTGAATGCTGCAAACCCGGAAGCTTGCAGCCAATCAGAAGCCACACCTTGGTTGCTGAACATTTCGGAAGTCAAATGGACTTCTGGAACACATTCTGTTCGAAAGCCAAGGTACGACTGTATATAAAGACACAATAAAACATTCCCCTTACAAGATTGCCTTCAGACGGCTTGGGGGCCAGTTAACGCCATACACTCCAACATTTCTCCAATGAAGATAGGGACATCCTAAGGAAAAGTGAGACATTCAGAAACTGGGATGGCTTCTCTAAATCAAGGACGTCCCTGGAAAATAGGGACATTTGGAGGGTCTGCAAGCCTCTTTATCTGGCCCTTATGATTCTTCCTAAACCATCCCCATCCCCAGGTCACAATGTTCCAGCCCTGCTCCACACCCTCAATCTAGATCCAACCCTAAACCTCAGCTGTATTTTTCTATTTTTAGAAATGCATTTCCGTCTTCTGTGGCTTTTTATGGCTCCTGCGACCCACATTAACACAACACACGCCCCTTTTTCTCATATTTAAAACAATTTTATTCATGAAAATATGCTGTACAATGCACTATACACAGTTCTTTACATTGCCACATACACAAAAACTAGAATAGCACAATCAAGAAGGTTACATTGCGTACAATATATGTGTGGTGAGAGATAAACAGCCTGTTGAAAACCCTAAGCCCCCCTTGAATCTGTACAGTTATAAATACGAGGAGGGGGGGAAAGACACCATTTTTCTTCTTTTCCTTTTTCATTGAGATGTTTGGTTTGGCCCAACCTTTATGCAGAACTTCCTGGCATAGTGCCACCCCCGCACCGGCCCTTTCTGTGGAGCTAGTGTTTCGATGAGACCTGAACACCACAGACCTGGTGTGCAGCCTCACCCTGTGTGAACTTCCGCGCAGCTCTCCTGCGCAGGTCTGGAAATGAGGGCACAGTTGCAAAGCACAGGGCATTGCTGATGCACTACAACTGCGCTTGGTTCAGAGGTCTGCATGACTCACCTGCCTGCTGAATGCACTGTCATGACTCAGCATTGCTGAAACTGGGGTGCTGCTGGAAGGAACTCCCTGCCTGCAGCCAATTGCTCCTTACAGTGTAATTGTTTATTTTTAAAATACAAGCACCCCACAGACCCTGATATGGTGGGCTGAGCCAAGGGCAGCTTTGTACTTGGATATGTTGGAGTCACACAACCTGATCTCAGGATCCACAAAACACCGTGACTACACAACCGTATAGCAAGGTCCACTCTTGTTCATTCACACAAAGCAGCTCTGCATTCAGTCTAAAAAACAGAGGATTTTCTGAGGATCCAGCTGGCCTTGCTTGGCTTGGAAGTTCTGCTCCTATTCCATGATACTGGGTTATGTGAGGGAGAAGGATTTTGCACATGCCCTGTAGCACCCTTTTCTTTTTTTTAAAAAAAAATTACTTCATAAGTTCCTCAGTTGAACCTTGGCTAAGCACTGGCTGTATTACACAAGGAGTTGGGCAAAGAGTTTTCAGGAAGTTGGAAAGGGAGTAAGAGTCATCACGGAGCGCTCCTTACATCAGCGCAGAAGTTTGTCTTCCCTGGGGAGATGGAATCACACCCATGCGGGCCAGGGGCATTTTGGCCCTTCTGAATCAGCATCGGATTGGTGACACGAGTACAACAGTGGAAAGCATAATCATCTTTCAGTTTTGAGCACAATTTGTCCTTCCTCCCACCCAAAAAGAAGGCGAATTAAAAGAAAACAGAGGGAGGAGCACCCCCAAATGTAGGCTCGGTTTAATGAATTGTTTCCAGCAGAATTGTTTGACGTTTTAGCTGAGGATTGTGTCCAACCAAGCCCTGCTCCGAGTAGAGCTACCAAAGTCAACGGACCTAACTTAGTCACGTGCATCAACGCCAGTGTGTTCACTCTGGGGATGACCAGAAATCCTAAGTCACTGGAGCACTAAGTGTTAATGGAAAAGTGAGGGCACGCCTTGCTTCCCTGTTATAGCTGATGGGTGCCACAGTGCCTGAAGCTACAAGGGCATGGCCCATGCCACGTGCATTCTCGGCCATGTAGCACACAAGACGTCTCCTCTGCTTGGCACTTGCTTCATGAAGCTATTCCAAGGCAGGCAGGCGAGACGTGGGTGGTCTCAGGATTGTCAGCCGCATTCACAGGTTTCAGTGACGTAATGGGAAGGGGACAAGGAAAGCCTGCAGAGGCCAGATCAACTGATGGACCATCGGGGTGGTCAAAGCTGCTTCTGTTGGCAAGCTTGGCCGCTCACCCTCAAGTCAGGGCTACAGGCTGAGTATCCCCATAGAAGCCCAGGTGGGTGGGTGGCAGTAAATAAATAAATCTCAATTTCCAAGGCAACCAGTGAACTATCCCACACACGCCCATGATTTCAGTTTTGTTTTCTGCCACCTCAGTTGCTCTCCTTCGTCTCCCTGCTCATTGCCACCATCCCTCCAAGGCCACTGCCTTCCTAAGCAGCTGCGATCGGCTCCTCGGCCCGCCCCTGCCCAGCCCTCGCTCAACTCCCCAGCCCCTCAGCGCTGCACTGCACTTCCACAAAAAAAGACGGTAAAACACGACGCTTAGCAAATATGACTCCATTGCACACACGATGACCTCACGGTTAACACACCACAAAGATCGCTGAGCAAAGAGGGGCGCTTCCTGCTGCTGGGGGAGGGGTCTCTCTGGTTGAGCCTGCTGTGTGGCCAGGTAGCATATGAGGGGGGCTAGCCTCTCCTCCTGCTTTCCACAAAATTGGGGTCACAGCTTGGGGTGCACTGGGAGAGGGGCCTTTTTCGTCTCTCAGTCTCCTTGCATTAACACTGGGGGACATGATTTGATTTGTACTGTACAGGTTTTGGTCTGTACAGAGTGAGAGCAGGCATTTTTCCCACTTCTATCCTCCTTCCAGGTTCTCCTTCCTTTCTCTCCATCACTTCAAGATCAAGGGTGTGGGTGTGTGCACATGCGCATTCACAGAAGATTAAATGGAGGCAGTTGGGTTCCTAATCCTCAGGGAACAGACTCACTCACACACACACACACACACACACACACACACACCCTTGCTCCACAAGCAACAAATACTTGACAGCCTGCCACTTCTGTGTACGCCAGACTGCTGGCACCGGACTCGCCGCTCCGCTTATGATTAGTGTTCTCGTCCAATCCATTTGGGAAACTGAGGCTGAAATTATTAAAATGATCTCAGGAGCTGGACCAAAATAATTATAGTAGTAAAAAAAAAGAAAAAAAGAGCATCATTGCAATAATGGTTACAAACAAACAAAAAGAATCAAAATATATTAAATTCAGTACATGATCCAGCAATGTAAACATTTATAGCCTGTGAGCCCATCTGAAGTTATTTAATTATTATTATTTTTAGCCTGGAGCTGATAGAAACCCAGAACAAAGAGGAACGTAGGCTACTCCAACACATATCCTGCCAGTCTCATGGGCAAAATTTGGAGGGAAACCTTCCCTTCTTATGAGCTGTAGCAAGATATGTTGCCCAAATCCTGATAGGCTTTTGGGACCTGGTCCAGGTACAAATCACAGGGGGGGGGGCGGTAGGGGAGAAGCAGAATAATGGTGAGGTAAAATAAATAGCTGTGGTGTGGTGGCAAGCCGAGGAAGGGGGAGAGGAGAGTGGATGCACTTTTTTCTCTCTCTCTCGTTGTCCAGAAACTGTGCTGTGACATGAACCGAAAGCAAGAGCCGAGGCTATCCTTAAGATAATCTGCCTGGAGGCCACCCTCACTTCTCTATTCATAATGCTTACCTTGGCAGAGAGCACCCTTCCGTTCCATACTAAAGAGACACTTAAGTTATGCCCATTCCTGCCTATGAATACAGAGGGCCACGGGGGAAATCTGGGTGGGAATGTCACGCCCCGTGCAAAACAACTGAGGGAGGAGCACTATGGCATGGGAGCACGATGAAATAAAAGATCTCTTTCCACACGCTCTGTGAAATTATGTCATTTTCATTAGAGGGAACTCAGCCTCTGAAAAAAATTCCGTTAGAAACATGTTTCTTTCTGCATGGTAATATGATGGTCTACGTAGCATCCTGCTCCCTCCCCTCTAGTTCAAGTCACGGGCAACGGGCTGTACAGTTGCATCTGGTGGTCCCAGATACAGATCTGCTTCCTCCTGCACATCAGAGTGTGCAAGCAGCCAGCTCAAAAGCAGAGCTGGGCTAAATGTGCCCCCCCCCCCGCCACCGCCAGAAGCTGAATATTATTCCCACCATCTGTGGAAGTAGCAGGGAGGGAGGTATTCAATTATTTTTGGAGGTGGACAAATTTCTTTTAAAGATCATCTCATCTCCGGCTTAAATACGAGGAAGCTGAGGGCTTTTTTCTTCTTTTGCACAACGGAAAAGAAGCAGTCAGGATAGAAGAACCTGACAGTTTTGGTTTCTCCCAGTTTCTAATTTACTCAACCTTAAATTCTCCAGGTATTCATATCATTTCACTTTTTTAAAAAAAGTCCTCCTGAAAATACATCAACATTTTAGTGCAAATTTCTCCTAATATACCCACGTTTGTATGCATTTTTGCCTAATATACACGTGCCTTTTTGAGTGTTACTTTAACATATGCACTTCAATGTACCCTCTACTCTTGTATGTGCATATTTATTTATTTTTGCACGCATTATTTGGCTGGAGAACTGCCTTTCAAAATTCAGGCATGTGCAGATTTTGAAAGATGGCTGTTTTTAAGTTTGTGTATTGTTTTGGAAAGTACAAATTGGGTGGATTCATCTTTAAATGCGGGCTGAGTCAAATTTCTCCCCTAAGAAACAGTGGCTTGGCCGCTCTGGTTATGGCCCTGGAAAGGAATGTCCCTAGGGACTATCATGCATGGCCCCGCAAAAGGGGGGGGGTAGCCAGGAGATCCCCCTGAGAATGAAGCCACCTCGTCACATAGCATCACACTGAGGCGCATGTTCCAGGAGCATGGCCAGGGACACTGAGCTGCTGCCTGAAGCAGTGGCAAGGCTTCCTTGTTGCTTAAAAACAAAACCCAGCCCTTCGTATGCAGCCAGAACAGATAGATGCACTTTTAAAGACTCCACATGAGCTATATACCCAGAAAGCTCTTTTCTGCACATGACACTCCCCTGCTCCTTCAGAGTGACCAAATCATAAACTTTCCCCCTTTTTAATCACAGTGCTGATGGTTTTCATTTCTCAAGTTTTGTTTAGGTTCCACGGGACGAAGCCGTGATTCGCAATCTCAAACATAAAAGTAGATTTGTAATTATTGGTTGAATGGATGTGGTGGGGAAGACCCAGGCACCACTGAAACAGTCTTAAGGTCCCTCTGCTTTTTAAGGGAGGCATCTAAGCACACCTAAGGGGACAATGGCTGAAAAGACTACATGATCACTGTGCGTTTTAATCCAGGTGTGCTCCAATCACATTGGAAGATGGGCAGGGAGCAGATTTGGTGAGCACAAGAGGAGGGAATCGTCCCTTAGCGGCAGCACACAGCTTTCTGCCTGCAGAAGATCCCCTGGAATCTCCCAATTCAAAAGATCAAGGAGCAGGCAATGAGGAAGGGCTGTTTCCTGTGCTTTATGATTCCAGTGTGGCTGATAGCTCAGTGGCAGAGCAAATGTTTTGCAGTTCCTGGGTCCAATCCCCAGGATCCCTAGTTATAACACAGCAGGTCACTGGGAAGACTACTATCTGAGTGAGACCCTGACAGTCAGACTAGACGAACAAGGTTTGATGGACAAAGCATCTGATCTAGTAGAACAAAGCAGCTCCCCTGTACTCCTGCACGGGGTGTCCTGGCGGGGAGTATGGGACCTTCCCTTGTCTGTCACTTTCCTCCCTCTCCTCCTTTCCTGTTATTAGCCAGGCTTAATATGGATTTTGGAGCCCAGCTCTGGCTGATGCAAAGGAGATGTTTCTAGGGGGCTTAGCTCATGGGCCGGTGACTTACTGTAACAACTTCATGTTGACTTCCATCACCTATATTTCGGGGGGTGGGGGGAAGCACTGCTCATTGTCTTCCTTCCATGATTCCAAGAAGAGGTACAAGTGGTTCAAAATAAGCATAGCTGCGCTAGTTTTCTTAATTTGCCATGTTCAGACAAGCTGACATTGACTCTCTTGTTCATGGAGTTTTGGCATCCCTGGACAGGCCCAGCCTCCTTTTAATAAACAAGCAAGGGGGTGTCAAGGAGCAGCTTTGGAAGTGACATCATAAAGACAGGGTGTCAGGGTGGTGGGAGAGGAAGTGAGGAAGTACGTGCTCCACACTTCCCTGCTCCCAAAACACACACATCTCATCAAGCGGTCCCATGAGAGAGAGAGGCAGAAATCTCACTAGAGCTCTGTATCCAGGCCCATGTTTTTTGTGCAGAAGGTCCTAGGTTCTACCCCAGGCATCTTCAGATAGGAAGACCTCTCAATGAAACCCACAAGAGCCTCTGCCAGCCAGTGTAGAGAACACGGAGTTCGATGGACCCAACACTCTGTATAAGGCAATTTGATATGTTTCATATCACAGAGAACAGGAAGCCCTCAAATAATGTGGGCATTCGGTGACCCAGAGGAGGGAAGCCCTGCCTAGCTACAACTAGAGGTGCTATCAGAAACTGATCACATTTCCAAACTCTGCAGGCTACTGACACCTATCCTTATTGTTACAGGGTGAACGTTTCAGATGGCCCAATTGACAGGTCCTGACTTTGTGCAAAAAAAAGTATGCTGATATAGACAGAACCTATGGCTGTCCAGCAGGACTTTGTATGGCACTCCAGTACTTTTAAGAGCTCCACACTGGGGAGAACCCCTAGTTTCACACAGCACCTGTTTCCCCTAATCATCACTAACATCCGTCCACCATTAACCTGCTATGGGCTATCTAAGTAGAAAACTAGTTACTTTGAGGTGTCTTGGGCTCCTCCATTTTCAGCCTTCGGACTACCAAAATGAGGGCCTCGGTCCTACAGCTTTCATGGGAAGCCACATCACCTCTCCTAGCCTAGATGATCTTGGACTGGTCAAATTCCAGATTTTTGCCAATAGCCCTCCTTCTCCACCCCTGTGTCTGTGTGTATCTCAGTTTATTGCACCTTCCTCCCCACTTCCTGAATCTTTACCTGCTATAGCTGCCCTCCTCGCTTTACAGGCTACAAGTTCCCACGCAAACCTAGCAAGGGTTGCATTGGCGATGGTGAGCCTTCGCAGGCCAGAGGGTGCATACCGCCAGAATAAATAGTTGCCACTGTTCCCCATCCCTGCCTCCCTGCTTACCCTGGCCGTTTCCCAGGCCAGCAGCAACAGCAGTCACCGTGCCAAACCTGTGGCTGGCTCTTAACGTAGCAGTAAGTGCCACTCATGTGTGCAAAAAGTTCTGCAGTGCTTGCGCACTGAAGCAGACCCATGCTGGCACACATGCCTCTGCTTGTGCTGTACGCACACACATTTCATGCCCCCAACTGCCTGTTGTTTCTTGTTGCAAGCATGGGGTTGGGGTGTGTGTGAAAAAGCTGGCGTTGCTCAGATCAGCTTCCCTTTGCACAGTGGGCTATGGAAACCACAATGTCAGTTGCTGGATCTACAACGGTTGGGGAGAGCCCCTCCCTTCTGCACCAGCCATGCCATGAGTGTGACTGCAGGTGGGAACAGCTGGGCAGGGATGGTAGCAGAGCAAACTGATGTTACAACTGCCTTTAGTGCTGCAAGCTTCTCCCCTGCAGCTCTTGGTGCTGCTATCTGTCAAGACCGCGCAGAGCCCCACCCCCCACCATAATAAAAGTAAGGGGATCCTAAGCTACTGGCCTTTGCCAAAGGAGTGTCACAGATGGGCAAGGGCCAGGAAATGGAGCTAGGGTGTCCAATTAGATTTGAGCGGTACTGAAAACAATTAGGAAAGGGGTGAATGAAAAGGCAGAGCTGTCAATTCACTGAGGCTACCTAGGCCACCGTGGAGACCCTTCTAGCCACAAATCACTAGTTCCCTCTTTCTGTGCAATAGTGCAGGTGCCCAGGAAGGGAGGGGGGAGGGAAGGGAGGAGGGAAGGGGGGAGGGAAGGGGGTGGGCGGGCAGCAGCTCTGCAATGCCATGGCTAACTTGTGCCTATTGCACACATCAAAGACAGATCTGACTTACTGCACGATACACCTGGCACAAGCGAGTAGTCGCCGGTACCTTTCAAAACATTTTACCCTACATTGTGTATTTGTGTGTGTGTGTGTGTGTGTTTAGTGTTGTCGTCAAGTTTAAACAGATGGCTCTAGCCTGGCTGAACAAATGAAGGCAAAGAAAATAAGAAAGGCGGAGTAGGGCGGGGGAGAAAGTTTGTTTCCACACACACCCCACCCTCTCATCCTGCTGACTGGTGGGTCAGAGTTGTCTGAAGCAGGTCTCACCCAGGCACCCAGCTCTGATTGGTGGGCTGCGGGGCGCTGGGCAAAGTGGCCATGTTGAGGCCGTTTTGCGGCGGAAGAGCTGAGTCAAAGTTGAAGTCCATCTCGTCGCTGTCCATAAAGTCGTTGAGGATGATGGACTCCACGTCGCACTCCAAGCTACCGTTGAACATGTCCAAGTCCAAGTCTGCTGGGAATCTGTCCTGGCCCAAAACAGGGGTGTGCATGGCTTCTGGGTAGGGTCCCTGCAAGGAGTCTAGCAGACTCATGTGCGCCCCTTGGTTGTTGATGTAGGAATGGATGTGCCCGTGATGGGGCATGGCCACCATGCTGCAAGAGTCATTGGGCAGGCTCATAAGGCTGATAGGAGAGGGTAAGGCACTGTTGCTGATCGGGTGGTGGTGGTGGTGGCTGGCTGGTGACGGGTGGTACAACGCATTGCTCTTCATGAGGGACGACGAGTGGGGAGGGTAGGGGACAAGACCTATCTCTCCGCCGCCGCCACCCCCGCCGCCACACACAAGGGGGTTTTGTCTGTGGCCGCGGGGTGGCCCCATGCTGCTGGCTTGCGGCATGTGCGCCTCGCCCTCTTTGTGGGCGTAGGAGATGGAGGAGAGCAGGTCCTGCAAGGAGGCATTGCGGTAGGAATTCATGGGAGCAAAGGTGGCCTGCTTGTTCTCCTGGATGGTCTGCATGGGCAGGCGGCGCATAAGGCTCATGGCCGGCTGGCTGTAGATGGTCCCGCAGTAGGTGCTCCCTCCTCCTCCTCCTCCACCGCCACCTCCTCCTCCGCCGCCCCCAGCGCCCACAGCAGAGCACTTGGAGTTGAAGCTGAAGCTGGAGTTCCTCTGCCGGAGGCCCCCGGCGGGCAGCGGCTGGGCAGGGCTCATGCTGTAGTTGTCCTGCAGGTCTTCCAGGAGGCTCTCACCAAGGCTCTCATTCAGGTTGATGGTGCCAGTGAGATCGGTCAGCCGGGGCATCTCCACGGAGCAGCGGGCGTTCAAGGAGGGGGACATGGTGCTGGACGGGCTGGGGTACATCAGCGGGGAGGACGGAGTCCCGTCGTCCTCTTCCAGCTCATCCGGCTCGTGGTTGGCCATGATGGGGGAGAGGCGCCCGCTCAAGGTGCTGGCCGAGGAGTTGGCCCGCGTCCGGAAGTCGGCCCAAGCGTCGTACTCCTCGCTCGCATGGGAGTTAGGGCTCTCTGACCACTTGGCCTGCTGGCTGGCCGGGCTCTCCTCTCCACGCTCCTGGGCTGCCTGCAGCTGCTTTTTCTTGCTGGCTTTGCCCTTGATCCGCAGGAACTTGCTGTTGTTGTCCATGGAGACGGCTCGCCTGCGGGGCGTCTTGCCGGTTTTGCCCCCTTCGGGGTTCAGCATCCACCAGGAGCTCTTGCCCGTGCCCTCGTTCTGCACGCGGATAAAGCGGGTGTGCAGAGACAGGTTGTGCCGGATCGAGTTCTGCAGACAGAGTGGGAGACAAAAGAAGAAGACCCCCATCAATACCAGCCAGAGAAGCAGCCCAAGCCCACTGTACCATCACACAAGGCCACCAGTGTCAGCAGCCAATGCCTCCACACTTTTCAAAGTTATCAGAAGAACATCAAAAAAGCCTGCTGGATCAGGCCAGTGCCCATCTAGTCCAGCATCTGGTTTTCACCTTAAGCCAAGGGACTCTCTGGACCTCTCTGTCTGACCCGTGGAACTCTCCCCAGTAATTCCCCCTTCTCTCCAGGCCATACTCTCCACTGGCCCTGGTTTGCACACCAACATTTTTGCCTGGCTGGAAAATGTCCGTGAACCACGTCTGGGTGTGCACGTGAATGTGTGTAGTGAGTAAAGGTAAAAGAAAAAAGGTATAGGACCCCTGGACAGTTAAGTCCAATCAAAGGCAACTATGGGGTTGTGGCGCTCATCTGGCTTTCAGGCCAAGTGTTTCAGGCCAGTGTTTGTCCACAGACAGTTTTCTGGGTCATGTGGCCAGCATGACTAAACTGCTTCTGGTGCAACAGAACACCGTGATGGAAACCAGAGCGCACGGAAACACCGTTTACCTTCCCGCCGCAGCGGTACTATTTATCTACTTGCACTGGTGTGCTTTCGAACTGCTAGGTTGGCAGGAGCTGGGACAGAGCAACAGGAGCTCACTCTGTCGTGGAGATTCAAACCGCTGACCTTCTGATCGGCAAGCCCAAGAGGCTCAGTGGTTTAGACCACAGCGCCACCTGCGTCCTTGTAGCCTTCTATGCACAGGTGAAAGATTATGTTCAATACCCTGCCCACTCTTGCCTCTGCCATGTGGCCTTCGGAAAGTTGTCCAGAAGGAATGTGGCCCTCAGGTTGAAAATGGTCCCCTCCACCTGCCTCCAGGGTTTACAACCCCTCCCCCCATTTTAAAAAATCACCAGCGCACAAGTTTTGAGGCTCAGACTAGAGACTAGATGTTGTGTCTCTTGTGTGATTAGCAACCACATTAGCAGATTTTAAAATTTAATACTAGTCATGTCTGTGTGGGGTGATTATAATCCGGACCACAGCACATAGGGAGGAGAGGTTTAACCCTTTCATTCTCCGCCCCGATTGCAGTGAAGGGCTGCCGCTAGTGTGGCAACCATCCTTATGGTATAGAAGGGAAGCTCCCACTGGTGACAATGGAAGCTTTCCCCCCTGCTGCCCCTGCAAAAAAAAAAAAAAGAATGGCTAACTGCTAGGGAGTTAACACTCCCTTCTCTGTGCACTGTAGTCCCAATAGAAACACGGTAGCCCCTGAATGTATTCTTCGGTCACATCCACAGCATACATTGAAAGCAAACTGAAAGCACATGGCTTTCCCCCAAAGACTTGGGAACTGTAGTTCCCCACACACAGAGCTCAGTTCCCAGTACCCTTAATAAGCTATAGTTCTCAGGCTTCTTTGGCAGAAATCATATGCTTTGTTAAATGTCCTTTAAATAAAATATAAATAAATAAATAAAGCCCTGAAGTGGTTGCCAACCATACAATAAGCATAAACTTCTGATTTCTTATCGCCACACCGCTTTCAAGACGCAGACAGTGCAATTTTGAAATCAGGGGATTATAAAGGGGAGTCTCCGTTAAAATTCTTGATTTCTTAAAATGGGGGTCAGGTATTTTCCTGACCCCCAGACCCAGGTGCATTAAGGTTCAGCATTAAATCATGGGGGAATAACCACACAAGACTTCAACAGACCTATTCTGTGTTCCTGCAGTAGGTGAGTGGGGGAAATCTTCTCTCTCCCACCCCAAGAGAAAAGTCCTAATTCTATACACCATCTAAAGCTCTCTTTTCTACCGTAGATTCAGGATGGGCAAAATAATTTCTTCCCACACATAATATTTTATAGAATTCATTGCAGCAAGAGAGAGAGAGAGGGAGACTACTGATGTAACCAGCTTGAAAAGGGGTGTGTGAAAACATGCTGGGGGGGGGGACGTTACATCTATCAAGGGGTCTATGGTACCTTGATAGAGGCAGGGCACCTCTTCCTTGGTACAACTAATGGAAGAGGGTTGTTGCCTCCCAGAAACATCTGATTGGCTACTGTAGAAAACAGAATGATGGGCTAGATGGACCTTTGTGTCTACTTCTGCCCTTAGCTGATTATGGCGCCACAAACTATTCCTAATGCAACTACTTCTAAATACCAAATTATGTGTCTTTGGTCCACCCCCACTCCTGCTGACACTAGGGGTGTTCATACATTACATTCAACAAGTGTGCAGTCAGTGTTCCTGTGTACACAATTAGTTGAGCTGCACAAACAAATTATTTATGCAAAAAGCATGGTCACTGGATTGTATCCAGCTAAGTTCTACTCACAGTAGACCAGCTTAAATGAATGAACCTATGTTAGTCACGTTTATTAACTTCAATAGGTCTTCTTTGAGTAGGAGTAGCACTGGCTACAACCCAGTGAGTGCAACATTTGAGCTGTGCAAACTAGCAAGTGTGTACCCTTTCACTTGCACATGACTAAGCACCGCTTGTTCAGTGCCATGTGTGAACAAGCCTAAGGCAAGATTCATGCCATGCATTTAAAGCCCTATGATAGCACTTTAAAAAGACAGAGCTTCCCTTCCCAAAGAATCCTGGGAGCTGTAGTTTGTTAAGGGTACCAAGACACACACACACACACACACACACACACCGTTCCCTGCCCCGGGCTACAATATTCAAGGTTGGTTTAACAACCAATCCCTCTTCCCAGGGAATTGTGGGAACTGTAGTTCTGTGAAGAAACCAGGGGTCTCCCAGCAACTCTCAACACCTTTAACAAACTACAGTTCCTAGAATTCTTGGGGGGTTGGGGAAGCCACGACTGTTCAAAGTGGTACCATAGTGCTTTAAAGGTATGGTATGGATGCTAGGCTTGCCACCTGTTCTGTAAAATACAGGATTGTCCCGTATTTCAATGTAAAATGCTACGTCCTGTATTGATACAGTTTTGGCCTGTATTTCAGGTCTTCTCTCTCTCTCTCTCTCTCTCTCTCTCTGCCAAGTTAGAGATCCTCTCCAAATGCATGTGTCTGAAAGGGTGTGTGAAAGGTCATGTATTTAAGCTTTGCATAGCCAAGCACAGACAGATGTACAAATTCAGATGGGGGTGGGGGAATAGTCCCCCAACTGCCCTGCCCCACCCTGTCCTGAATTTTGCCAGAACAAAGGTGGCAACTCTAGATGTGCCCTAAGCACAAGGAACTTCCCGCTCCAGGTAGAAGTTGGGCATCATTATTTAACAGTCCCTGAAGACTGGAGATTGCTGGAAACAGCCCAGCTACCCTTTCCCAGTTCTGCTTCTCCTGGAGAAACAGCCACTTTTCTGCTTCACTCAAACATGACATCCGTGCCTGCCCAGACACTTGGGCAAGTTGGCACCCCGAGAGATCCTTGAGTGCCCCATTCAGCGGCTCTGTGACGGAAAGGCCTCTCCAGGTCCCCCATTCCCATGGCAGACAAAGACCCTTGCAGCTGCTGGAGCTACAGCTATGCCAAGGGCTCCTTGCCATTGGATTCATTCCCCCCCCCCTTTTTTTATTTTTTCAACACCATCCAAAAAAGCAAGCTTAAACACGGCAAATGGAGTTGCGGCGGGAGAGCGGGGCGGGCGGGAGGTGGCTCTCTCTGCTCTTTCAGCTCCCAGCGATGCCTTTGATTCTAATGCCTGGCGGGCAAAGAGAGCCAGCAGGGAATTTGATCCATGGCAAGCGTGGGACGCTGAGAAACTCTCGCCTGTGACCTGTGGATTATTCCTCTGCTTCCATCCAAAGGAATTTTCCCATGGAATTCTCAGTGGGGCTCTGCACAGCTGATTAGCCTGGCGGACAATAGCGAGAGGCAAAGCGCCGCTGCCGCGGACTGCGTGCCCGTTGTGGTCCAAAGGGGATGGGTGGCAATTGGATTCAGCCTCTCATGCCCAGCTGCTGGTGCAAGCAGCAAGGAGATGGGAGAGACCTCCATCGTGCATAGGGCAGTGGATGGTGCCAGCATCAAATATTGGCACCTGCTGAGGCTGGTGACCAGTAAGAGGCCCACTGCCAATTCCTGGAACATCCTAGCCCCACGGCTGGTGCTCCTTACTCTCTGCCACCAGTTCACTCGCCTTCTTTGAGCATCTGGGGAATGAGATGAGAGGGGGGAAAGGACCAGAAGGGTTTTTTTCTGAAAATCTTAACCATCGAGCTTATCCTCATGGATTTTGTCTAATTCCTTATCTTGCTCCTTGACCTCAAAGAGAAGCAAACACACACAAACACCTCGGTTCCACTAAAAATAAAAACAATCGTTGAATTATTGTATATTTTGGATTGTGTCCAACTTAGGCCACATTCATGCCATACATTTAAAGCACTATGAAGTCACTTTAAGCAGTCACAGCTTCTGCCAAAGAATTCTGGGAAGTGTAGTTTGTTAAGGGTGCTGAGAGCTATTATCCTACACACACACACACACCCGAGCTATAGTTCTCAGAGTGGTTTATATCAATCCCTCTTCACAGGGAGCTCTGGGAATTGTAGCTCTGGGAGGGGAATAGGGGTCATGAGTCCTAACATCTCGCAGCAACCTCAATAAACTACAGCTAGCTCCCCAAATCTGTCCAGGCAGACCCTTATGGTGAAATAATCCATCTCTGTCTCTCAGACTAATCAATCTCAAAGGGTCCGTATGAAGATAAAATTAAATAGTCCTTATTTCCTGCCCTGCCCTTCTTTTAGAAAAGGCGGGGCACAAATATGAGTAGCTACACCCCCAACTTATCAGGTGTCTTTGGTATGAAGCACACCTCTTGCCTCAGTTTCCTAAATCTGCAAAATGGGAATGCTTCACGTCAAATAAGAGATAGGAAACACTGTGTATACCCTGTACTTTAAACATACATTCCAAATCTGGAGCCTTTATGAATTATGCAAAATAATTTACATGCATCTGCTTAGTTTGCATA